ATCCTTTGGAGAAAAGGCTGCAGACACCCCTCCTCCTGGGAGCTGAAGTGGGATCCTAAATTTGCAAACACCAGTAATCAGTTCACCCCTTCCTCCACCAGCTCAAGAGGCTCCTTCTCTAATTCGCCCTCTATTAATTTGGAGGCTGATAGATAAGTCTATTGATTTTGAGGGGTCTTCCCTACAAAGGCCAATTCTCACATATAGTGCAAAGTCACACTTCCTCCCAGTTCTTCCCTTGCTTCCCCCACCCCCATCCTCCTGCCGTCCAAAACCCTGCTTAGGCAGATGAAACCAAGAGATAGTAACAGTGTTGGTATGGGAAGAGGATTGGCACACACCCGCGACAGAGTTTGAAACAGTCATCTGAAGGAAAACACACAGAAAATAGAAATCTCAGCTATTCTAGGCGAGGTCCTGCCTAGAAGACGGTTGAACAGTGTCTCCTTAGTTTCTCCCTACCTCTATCAACTTTGTTCTTGAAAAGTTTTTTTTCTTTTTTCTTTTTGAGAAGGAGTTGCGCTCTTGTAGCTCAGGCTGGAGTGCATTGGCATGATCTCGGCTCACTGCAACCTCTGACTCCCGGGTTCAAAGGATTCTCCTGCCTCAGTCTCCTGAGTAGCTGGGATTACAGGCCTGTGCTACCACGCATGGCTAAATTTCTTTTTCTTTTTTTCTTTTTTTTTTTGAGTCTCACTTTGTTGCCCAGGCTGGAGTGCAGTGACGTGATCTCAGCTCACTGCAACCTCTGCCTCCTGGATTCAAGCAATTCTCTTGCTTCAGCCCCCCATTAGCTGGGATTACAGGCACACCCTATCATGCCCAGCTAATTTTTGTATTTTTAGTAGAGATGGGATTTCGCCAAATTGGCCAGGCTGGTCTCAAACTCCTGACCTCAGGTGATGTGTCCGCCTTGGCCTCCCAAAGTGCTGGGATTACAGGTTTGAGCCACCACGCCTGGCTCTTTAGAAGTTTTCTAAAGCCGGGCGCGGTGGCTCAAGCCTGTAATCCCAGCACTTTGGGAGGCCGAGGCGGGTGGATCACGAGGTCAAGAGATCGGGACCATCCTGGTCAACATGGTGAAACCTCGTCTCTACTAAAAATACAAAAAATTAGCTGGGCATGGTGGTGCGTGCCTGTAATCCCAGCTACTCAGGAGGCTGAGGCAGGAGAATTGCCTGAACCCAGGA